ATGGCCAAGGTACTAAGAGATAAAATCTCGACCTCCGAGTATTGACCTTTATTATTAGTGATTAGAAAATGTGTTTGGTCAAAAAAAAAAACAACAAAAAAACGTGACATTTAGGCGTCCCGAGAGACTTTTTCGGGACAACGGGTACGATCGTTTCAAAAACGGGACAATCCGTTTTTACGGGACGTTTGGTCACCCTACCATAGTAGAAAATGCCAAACAAATTCGGACTTTAAAAATTTGTAGCTCAAAAAGTACTTAATTTAAAAAGTTTATTCTAGTTTCATTTTTAAATTTTGAAATTTGCTCTAAATAACTGTAATATTTAACAAAAATTGTTAATTAATTTTTTACTGAAGTAATCGCATTTATTAACGCACATCATGTACTTAAAGAAATTTCAAGCACATGTAAATATAATGCCACCATATTGGTTTTCGGTTATCTCGATCATCGGTTATTTCGACGATTTTTGGAAAACCCCGATGCCGTCGACATAACCGGGTTCTACTGTTATATAGTTTTGTAATGCTTTTACTTTTGAATAGTTAATGAATACTGAAATATACCTTGTCTCCGAACGATATTTAAGTTCTGTTAGTAATTCATTTCTTTAATTTAATAAGGATTAATTAAAGATCGTGTGTATTTAAACTGATTTACTTTTTCAAAAGTGTAGTTTCTAATTTTAATGTTTTCATTTGTAGTCTATGTTCTTCTCTTAAAGAAGGCAATTATAATACTTTTGTATAAACTAATAATCATTTCTTTTAAAAGTAATTGAATATTAAGACTAAGATTTAATATAATAATATTACAATTAATGTGTAAGTAATGTAGGCCTGACCTATGGCGCCTAAGTAGGTTGTAGAATTATACTTAATGATAAACATTACTTACTAGGCCTGGAGCTTAGACCTAATTATCTCAAACTCAATTATCTGTCATTGCTGAAATTGTAAATAGTGGAACAATGTATGTGGAAGTTTAAAATAGAAAGACTGACAGGACAGTAAAAGAAGAACGCTTCGGCTCAGCATACAGGACAAATAGAGAAGCAACAAGAAGTTAGTAGTTCAAATACTTTGAAAAAACTTAGGTGGCGAACGCTTAATTCCTCCATTTATTATCCTGAAATAGTAACTTAAGAAGATTACGAATGCATTAATTAAATGATCGTTCAGTTGTGTACTCATGCAAAGCTTACTTTTATACTTCTAGGTGGTTTGTTTGCAAATAAAAGTTATTTTTTATGGAACAAACATGCCTATTTACTTACAGTTACAGTAACTTAAAGTGCAATGCTCAATTAGTCATTCATTTAAAAAAAAAAAATTAGAAAAAAAAAAAAAAGAAAACCCTCAAAACTTGACCCTACATTTTTTGACCTAACACCTACACTAAGTGACGCAACTTCCGATTTGGGGAGATGAAATATAAAAGAACACAAAATGGCGGAAGGAGGTCCACCGGATTTAACTACTCAGAAAAAAACTATTGAGGAATACCTTAGTCAAAATTTAAAGAAAGGAGAGTTATGGTACGGCTGTAACTAAGTTTCATGTAGCTATTATAAATTTCTTAGACAAATAATTTGTACAGCTTTATAAAATCAACGTGATAAACTATATAACTATACTATAACTTTATATACTTAATTATAATTTACTATATAATCATAATGAATGCCTATTTTACTGTATACTTGTACATTGCATTCATTGTATATTGCATTACAACCCACCTACTTACGACCACTAATACTATTATTATTAAGCTCTATAACTTATACTGTATTACTACTTCTTCTTCTTCTTCTATATCTTAAGGGCCCACTATCAATTTATTGATCATTTTGGCATGTAGATGGGATTTGCAATGTTTCTGTTACTGGTGGTGATGAGGAAATTATGCACTAGGGGTTTGAAGGCTTGAGGCAATAGACACAAATGTGTCTAGTGTTGTCGCCTCAACTGTTCCTTTTGAAAGATGGTTCCAGTCCCTGATTGTCTTGGGCAGGAATGAGCAGCTCCTATACTGGCTTCTTGCTGGTATGAGCCTGAATTGCCTGTCATGGCCTCGTCGCTGTCTATGGGGGAGAGGGACGAGTTTCTGTTTAATACTGGAACAGTGGACCAGCCCATTATTTATCTTGTACATCATGGAGAGCCTGGATTGTCGTCGTCGTTTCTCCAATGGTGACCAGCCTAGTGTTTCTAGCATGCTGCCAACACTAGAGGTATTCCTGTAGCGGTTTAGGACAAAGCGTGCTGCTCGTCGCTGGACCGCCTCCAACCTGTCAATGCTCTTCTGGGTAAATGGGTCCCAGACTGAAGATGCATAATCTAAAATCGGACGGATAAAGGCTTTATATGCTCTTTCTTTCACACAGGAGTTGCCAATCTTTAGATTTCGCCTTAAGAACCCCAAGGCTTGGTTTGCTTGGTTACATACATTGTTAATATGCTCGTCCCAGCGGACCTCTCTTTGAATGGTAACACCCAGGTACTTTACGGAGGAAACTTGCTCAAGAATATGGCCGTGCAGTTTGTATTGGTAGTGTAGAGGAGTACAACTTCTAGAGATTGATAGTGTCTGGCACTTGGCAGGGTGAAATTCCATGTCCCAGCTCATCTCCCACTCAGCTAACAGATTGAGATCCTGTTGTAGCTGGTCCTGGTCAGATCTGTTGGCGATCGTCCTATACACTGCTGTGTCATCTGCAAACAGTCTTGCCTGTGATGTCAGTTTCTCCGGTAGGTCATTAATGTATGCTAGGAACAAACAGGGGCCCAGGACTGATCCCTGGGGGACCCCTGACTTCACATTGACAAAGGAGGAGCTTGTACCGCCCACCACTACTGCTTGGCGTCGGTGGCTGAGGAAGCTAGAGATCCATGTTTTAGTGGTGCCTTGAATCCCATATATCTGGAGTTTGTGTAGAAGCAAACTATGATTCACCCGGTCAAATGCTTTTGCGAAGTCCATTACTAGCACGTCAGTCTGCTTGTGGTTCTCCAGATTGGTCATCAAGTCTTCTACAAATTCGAGAAGCTGGGTCTCACATGACCTATTGACTCGGAAGCCATGTTGACAGTCATTGAGTATATTTTTGCTTTCAAGATGCTTCATGACAGAGCTTACGATTATGTGCTCCAACAATTTGCAGACGACGCTAGTGATGGATATCGGACGATAGTTGGCAGGGTCGGAATGCTCCCCTTTCTTGTAAATTGGAGTGACATGCGCTGTTCTCCAGTCTGCTGGAACATTTCCTGTGCATAGTGACGATTGGAAGAGGATTGTCAGTGCAGGAGCGATTTCTTTGGCTAATTCTTTGAGCACTCGTGGTTTAATGTTGTCAGGACCACATGCTTTGTAAGGGTTAATGGTATTGAGGAGGGCAAACACACCTTGTTCTGATATCTGGATATCTCCCATGATAGGATAGGCTCTGTTCATCATTTTGGTCTTCAGAAGAACTCAGTCTCAGAGTACTCTCTACCGTCACCAAAGACCGACTGGAACTGCTGATTGAGTATCTCCGCCTGTGCTTTTGGGTCAGATGTCAATTGGCCATCCCACCTCAAGGGGGAAACTCCAGCGTTTGAGGACTTTTGGTGTTTCACATAGCTCCAGAAGCGCTTGTTCTTTACATCTTTACTTACTTATGACCACTACTGCGATTAACTATTATTTAAGCTCTATACTCTATGTCTATAACTTATACTCAATACTCAGAAGCATATTTAGTTAATTTAGGGTGTTTGGCACCCAGGGTAATTTCATTTTCCGGCCCCCTCAATTCTGAAACCCATTATTTTCATCCATAAAATACCATCAAAGCTATAAATTTTAGAGCACAACTGAACTAGTCTGGGGACATTTTAGTTCTGTCTCCCTCTCCTGCTTCCCTCTCCTGCTCCCCCCTCCCCTCCCCTTTCCATTTTAAAAGTAAACATCTGCTTATACTATAACTTGAAACTTGTCTTGGCTCTTCTCTCTTCATTGACAGCTCTGTATGTTGAAATGTAAATAAAATATGCATTGTTTAGGAGCATGCCTAATAATTGGGCTAAATTATGTTCCTCGTGCCACTTTGAGTTTATGTGTAGGATTCAGTTTCTGTCTCTTTTGTTTATTCTTTGTTACTAGATAATAATTCTAAGCAGATGGAATGTTTTAAATTAATATTTCATTTGGTGGTTAATTGTAATATATCAAACGAGGCTAAATTTTTCACCATTTTCAAAAAGGCAGTGTCAATACGTCTGGCGCGCCGGCTGTATATCTCCCGCACTATTTGTCCGGCGACCAAGTCACATGACCGCCGTAACAAAGTGGCGAGAGATATTTTGTCCATCAGCCTTGTCACGTGACCGTAAATTATTCAAAACTATTGTTAATTTTAAAATCTATTTCCCTACCAAGTAATGTACATCTTGCATGCAAATAATAGAAAAAAACTGAAGTGAAAGTGGCTTGTAAACATTTTTGTTTAGTTTGTTATTTGAGTTTGTGTACCAGTACCCATAATATAATTAGGGGCCAGTATTCAGTATGCAGTAGACAACCAATAAAAGTAAAAGATTTTAAATTGTAAAGTAAACATTTTAAATTGTTTAATTTGCTGCAAAATATTTTAAAACTTCTCATAAAACTACTGTTGCTGATGAACATGATAATTTATAAATATAATATAAAATATTTTAAATTAAAATGGGGAAAAAAAGGGGTTCCCATGCGGGGAATTGATCCACAAATATAGTATCGTCAAGCGGCCACTCTACCACATGACCATACAAGATCTTCTTAGTAGATACTTCCTTCGGAAGAATATTTGTAGATATGAATGAGGATTGAAGGTATTTCTAAAAAACTATTTCATTTAATATTAAAGTTTTGCTCCTAATTTTCATAGCTCTCTGTAAGTCCTAAAACGGCACATTCTCTTTCTTTCCCCTCCCCATTTCACCAGATATGTTTTTTGCTTTTCTTTTTTTTTTTTTTTTTTTTTTTTTTTTTTTTTACACAGCCACTATCTTGGTTGCCATGACACGTCTGCTGTCATGACAACCAAGATGGAGTCTGGGAAATGAGTGCCATGCCAAATGTAAATTCACTAATAATTTGATTAGTTTTGGGAAAGATTTTCAGGACCTATCATAAAAAGCATTAGAATAGATATTGAAATTATTGTATGATTTTCATCATTTAATTTTTAAAAATTTGTTTCTTTTTTTTTTTTGCACTAGGTATCTAATTGATGTTAGGTGGTTTAAACAATGGAAAAAATATGTTGGTTATGATCAATGGGATTCCTACAGTGTTGGAGATCAGAGTGTTCATCCTGGTCCTATAGACAACTGCTCATTGCTTAAGCGTAAGTAGGATATTTATTCTGTGAATTAAACTGTTAATTTTTCTTTACATTAACTCTAGTAAAATTTACTTATGTCATTTTTTGCAAATTGTGGTAATAAAAATCAGTGGATTACCACTTTATTCTTACTTATTGTCAAAATATATCTACAGCTGACACAAACATCTTAAGGGAACATCTGGTTGATGATCTGGACTATATATTGCTACCTGCAGATGCCTACGTGAAGTTGTCTTCCTGGTATGGAGTAGCTCCAGGACAGGTAGGAGAGAATTATTCACATACTTTTAAAAATGAATTTCATTGATCAAGAAAGATACAGTTAAGGTTTCTAACAGTTAAGGTTTCTAATTTCCCTTCACAGACTTCCTTCACACCCAATAAATAGTACAATGACACATTTACCCTATAGCTGTCAAGAACTTTTCATTTTCAGCATTTTCATGTACTTACTACTTATGCCTTTTACCCCATCTGGGGCATAGGCTGTCTACAAGAATATTCCATTCATCATGGTCCTGTAATTTCCTTTCCAGTTGCTTCCAGGTGTATCTCATACTTAGTGTGTCTGCCTCTAGCTCGCGTCTCCCTGTTTTCTTAGGCCTTCCTCCCTTTATTTTGCCCTGTGGATTCCATGTTAGGAATAGTCTATCTAGGGGTTTTCCGAGAGTGTGCCCTATCCACCTCCATCTTTTTCTTATGATGTCTTTATCAATAGGCTTCTGGTATGTCTTTTCTAGTAAGTCTTTGTTGGTGATGGTGTTTGGCCATTTGATGTTCAGGATCTTTCTAAGGCAAGTGTTATGAAGGTCTATAATTTCTGCTTAGTATTTTCATAAGCTTGTCAAAAATGACATAATCCCAGACTAAATAAAATTCAGAGACCATAGAAGTGTACATTTTCTTTAAGTTCACTGGACAAGGTATGTGGTATGAAAAGAATTTGTTTTTATTTTATTTATGTTGATATTGACCTTTACAGAGTGAGTGCAAATCTAGTGCTCAACTTCTGAATTCAACCCAAAATAATACTCCAGAAATTGGTCAAACTATCATGAAATAAAGTTGTTGAGATATTAGAAGCAATATTCTTTCAGAAAATGTCAGGTTATAGTTTACTTATTTTGAAAATTGTAATATGAATTTTGTTCATTTACTACCTTCAAATTTTTGTCTTACAAAATACAAGGGGGAGAATGCTTGAAATAAGAAATCTTTTTTCAATTGAATATATTAAATCTATTTTTGATTAATTAATACTCCTAAATAAACAGAAAAATAAAAGTTTTTGTTGTAGACCTTTGGGATCCAGTCTTTGTCTTTTTCTGTTCGATTTTCATCCCTTCCCAAATGAATTTGTCTAAAATTTTAAATGTCTGACTCTTATGTTCCCATTACCAATAAATCTAATACTGTCAATACTAGCACTGGGAGTATCTTTGAAATCATTGCTTTCGTTTTATTCCATTTAAAATAATTGTAATAAATAAATTCTGTGTTGAATTTGCAATCAAAAGGGGGCCCTCTCCGACATCAGTCATTATCATTATGGCTGTAAAAAATTTTGAGAAAATTTCACACCAGAATATACAAAAAAAAATCTCAGATAAAATCACGTTAACTCATATACATACATATATGTACTGATTTCCCTTTAACCAATGTACATTAAATCATTCACATTTTTCATGATGATTTTGCTAGCGGTCGATTATATCTGCCGTGACAACATAGAAAGAGTTTAATGGCAGATGATTGGCCACAATCACAGTTATATGGTTAACTTTCCTATATTTCACTCCAAAACGAATGCCTTACGTCCAACAGGGATTTTTAACTGCAACATACACTGGTCCTGATAGACAAGATTTCTTCTAAGGATACAAAATACTCGATTTAGACCAGCACTCCAATCCACTAACTGATATTAAGTCCTCTCCTAACAATAGCAACAAATCTGAAAATCAGCATACACTGCAAGTAAAAACACTGGAGAGGACCAACCTCATAATTTTACTTATGAACTCCCTCAAACTGTCTGTACAGATCTGACTGGCAAAGCATCTTTGTTGCTCTTTTATACCCTTTTTTTACAAAATCTGTCAGAACATTCATCACCCAATCATGTGTCTTTCAAACATTTACAACACTCTCATAGATTCTAACTTTCATTCACTTAATTTATTGTATCCATTTATTAAATTAGTCTTGTCAATAATTTGTCTATTCCTCAGCAACCTATTGTTAGAAAGGTCATTGAACAAGGAATGTTTGTAAAACACTGTAAAGTAGAAGTGTATTTAATGGAGCTAAAACTCTGTGAAAACTCTAACCCCACCAATGTGATAACCCATGCTTTCAGTAGAGCTGATACAATAGGTTTGCTTTAATCAATTTATATTAATCACTATATATTATTCACTATTTTGGTTGTTAAGCATATTGATTTTCTCACTTGAAAAAGTGTTGTTATTTATTGTCATATCCTAAAATATTTTTAAAATGCACATAGTAATAATTTTTCTTCTGCTCTTTGCTTTCAGCTGCAATTGAACAGGAAATGCGTAACCTGTTTTCCATTCCCGAAGACAAAGAAGTTCGTCTGTGGAATCGTTATATGAGCAATACTTATGAACTTCTGAGTAAAAAAGATGTGACATTGCAAGATGCTGGACTTTATCAAGGACAGGTAATTCTTACATTTAAAAAACACTATCTACTTAGGTTAAAAGTTAAAAAGGCAGGACGGTTAAATGTGATAACTACAACTATTTTAAACAGTAACTATTCAAAGTTATTTGAAAATATTTTTGATAGAATTTACATGATACAATTTTCTTGTCTGATATACATTTGTTAAAATCACATATTACCTTCCAGATATATCCATTGTTACACTTTTGTTTAGGTTATAGTTGTAGAATTAAAGAATGAAGATGGTACATGGCCTAGGCAAGCAAAGAGGTAAGGAATACTTTAGTATGTGTGGAAATATTATAAGGTTTAAAAATAAAGAATTATTATTTAATACTTTAAAAATGTTAAGCATTCATACCATTTTGTTTAATAGAATAATGCTTGCGCAGAAAATGTATAGGAGATATTCATCAAACATTGGTTTTACAGCTCACATTTTAATTATGTTTCTTTAATTTATTGCTTTGTTTAATTCGTTAAAATTTAAATGACTTTCTTATTATTTTTGAGATTCATCAACTTTTAGTTATTGCCTTTAAAATAAAAATGCTAGAAAAAACTTAGTTACGCAGTGTTTTCAAAATTGAGAATTACCTTTTTTTTTTTAGTAATACTTGTAATATAATCAGTTGGTGTAGTAAAGTCATATTTTTTCATTGTAATTCATTCTTTAGCGCATCGTTCACTTAAAGTTACTTAGAAAATTTGCTAATCAAATTTTATACGGTATATAAATAAAATTTTTAAAATTAGACGATGATAACATTATGGCTTTCCAACTGAATGTGATTAGCTAAATTTTATTTGAAATATTTTTCAATGTTTTTGTTATTATTTTATATATTTTGAATGTGCTTATATTGACAGTGCAAACTCATTCAACTCTTCTCAAACCACAACCAGGTAACTATTTTTTTGTCTTTGACAAAATAATTAAAAGAGAGTAGTTAACTTTAACCTGAACTTAATTATTAGTTTAAATGACAGATTTGTTTATTTTGATTTTTTAAAAGATTGCATTGTTTTTCTTACACTTGACAATGGTATTCATAATTTATTTTCTTTAAATTAAAAACAGAAGGAATAATTAAATGTCATATTGTTTGTCAGGGGCTCAGGATATAGTGGCGCCAGTGGTTCAGCCACCAATGACTCAGTAAGCCAAACAAACACAACTGTTGGCTATGGCAGTAACAGTGTGAATAATTACTACAGTAGTAATTCATATGATCGCAGTGGGACCAGTAAACCAGGGCTCTGTGGATTAGCCAATTTAGGAAATACATGCTTTATGAACTCTGCCTTACAGGTTAGTGTATTAAAATGAGGGATGCTAAACCCTGATTTTTTGACAAATCAGTTTTATAAAACCGGTTTTAAACCGGATTACATTTTATGCAAAGCATTTTAACTGTTTGTGTAACAGATAAATATTCTTATAGACTTCTATAAGCTGGTAAGTTGAAGCAGAAATCTATTTTTAGAGATGAAATGCCTTATTCTCTCCATGATGATTTTGATATCACAGTTTGATTTGAGCACATAACCCACCACACCAAGCCCCAGGGCTTGTGGAATCATCTGTTGCCCTGACATCAGAGTTGTTAAAACGACAAACTTTAATTTTGATTTCAATAAAATTTTATTTTATTTACTTAACTAACTTCTCGCGTGAACTACATTTATTGTTGTACGACTATTATTATCTGTGAAGTAGCTAGCCTAAGTGCTGTCCTGGGTGGAACGAGATGTTTACCACCGCCTCATGTAAAGAAACAAGTGCTACCTGGGGAGGACCGCTCCATCAGCATCCCCTTTCCCATGCCAGTGATCATTATTAAATGTTACTGTGACGATGATATCTGTACTTAATCCAACTTGTTAACTTATAGCAGACTACACACAATGTGATCTGGGATTTAATATAAAAGGCAGTATTCTATTTTTTGAAGAATCCCTCCTAAACTTAAGCTAGCCCCTTTATGGAATTTTTTCATAATACTGCTTATTGACAGCTGTTTAAGTTTTTGGATCTGTTCCGAAAGTTTGTTTTTATATTTTAAAATTTAGTTTGACTTAACTCTTACTAATTTGACTTCACAGTTTCTCTCAGCTTTGTTAATTGATATGAGCCACTACCCTTATAGATAATATATCAGATAACACTTGTAGATATTTGTTGAAGTTATTTTTGTTTTCCAATAGTGTATGCTTAACGTCAGCCGATTAACAGACTATATGCTGAGCAACCAGTGGGAAAAGGAATTAAACAAAGAAAACCCCTTAGGCATGAGAGGTGAAATAGCCATCACATATGCCGAGCTTACCCGAGAAGTGTGGTCAGGTCAAAGGGCATACACAGTGCCCAGAAACTTTAAGGTAACATTTTTAACCATCTTTTTCAGAAGCCTGATATCATTATATATTTATCTCTTTCCAATGGAAATTCAGCTCGATAAAAGTTTGTAAATAAATAAATTCTATTATTCTCAAGAGGAAAGAACAATGTAACTCCTCTTTTGAGTAATTTGTCAATGAATTATTAGTCCAAATAGTCTACACTTTGACTTTCAATGACATTTTTCAGGGAAATATTGAATTAATTGGTAAGGTTTGAGACACTCGAGCCTGATGCAATTTTTTCTTAATTTTAGCTGAACAATTATGATAGAAATGAGGGTTAAAATTTATTTAATTTATCATATTTAAATATACAACTTAATTTTCTTTGAATATTTTTCTATATACAGGTGGCAGTGGGTAGGTTTGCACCCCAGTTTTCAGGTTACCAGCAACAAGATTCTCAAGAGCTAATGGCCTTTTTGCTTGATGGACTTCATGAAGACCTTAATCGCATTAGAAAAAAGCCCTACATTGAACTCAAGGACTCGGGTGGACGACCTGACAATGTAATCTTTTTAAAAAAAAAATCTTATTCATTTTTTTTAAACAAGCCTAAGCCAAGAAATGCCTGTCAACTGTGTTAACGCTTATTTTTATTTTAGGGGAGGGGGAGAGAGAGAAAGATAACAAGATTTTAAATGATATCTCAATAAAGGTATTTAGTATTTTTTAATAATTTTTTTCTTTCTTTTTCAGATTGTTGCCAAAGAAGCGTGGGACAATTACAAAAAACGAAATGACTCCATTATTGTTGATATTTTTCATGCCCTTCTAAAATCCACTGTAAGATGCCCAGACTGTGAGAAAATCTCTGTGACCTTTGACCCATTTTGTTATTTATCTTTACCCCTGCCCATAAAAAAAGAACGTCAAATGGAAGTGATATGGGTGCCTCTGCCTCCTGAAAAAAAACCTATGCAGGTAAGTACAACTATACACTTATCCAAATTATCAGCTGATGTTTATAAACAAAATTTTATTTAAAAAATACCCATGTGTATGGAAACAGTGCATCTTTTATAGGCTAAATATATAATTTAATGAATCCATTTTTTCTTTACCAATCTAAATCCATTTATAATTTTATTAGTAGTTTTTTTAGTCAGTTTTTAACATTTATATACATAAGAAAATGAAAATACATTCTGTTCTGAATAGCTAAAATTGACAGTGCCTAAGGCAGGCAGCATCCGTGACTTGTGTATATCATTATCAGCCCAAGTAGACGTTCCATCTGACAGGGTAGGATTGTGTTTTTGCACTCTTATATTTTAAATTTGAAAAATATTTCAAAAGAACATTGCATCTTCCATTTATGTATTACTATTTTATTACAAATTATTTGGGTTAGTTTTTAGTTTCCTTAAAACTTAAAAAAAATGTAAGACAATCCATAAATCAAATTGTAAGAAAATGTAAGAACTGTTTGATGATGAACAGCCACATAACTGGCAAAGAAGTTTTAAAGTAATGGAAATCACATATTTAACTTCATCTAACTTAATTAAGACATTTGACACTTGTATATTTGAATTAGGCAAATGTTCTTTGTTACATTGTACTTTTACCCCAGGAGCCCTCACAAAAGACGGTGTTGTCCAGAGGCTTCATTAGACTCGTTTAGAAGCTCAGTGTTTTCCAATATAGGCAATTTTGGATATGTTTGGGGTTAATTTTTTCCTGTCCTGCTTAAGAACATAATTGGTGTGCCAATCGTGCGTTTGTGGATGCAGATTGGAAGTGTGGTCCCCCCCCCCCAAAAACAACCCATTTGTGGTAGATTTTGCCCCTGTGGTAAATGTTTCCACGGTTGTGAACTTTCAGCCATTTTTTCCCCCCAAAATGGATGCGATATTTGTTTTGACAGGCCAGTTTGATTGATAATTTTGTTTTTAAGTATCCGCCATGTTTTGAAAGTATCTGCTGTTTCATTATAAATAGGCTCAGGAAATTTGTGGCCATCTCACATGTGCTGAATACCTTTTGTCTTTTGGCCTTTCTTTTCCATTCTATGAAATATCAGCTGCCAGTTTTATAACTTCTGCTTATTATTCAAAGCCAGTGATTTCACCCTTGGTTTCGGAAATTGTCTTTTCCTCGTGAGGTTGTAATTTTTTTTATGTGTACTGCAGATTATGAATGTTAATTTATGAATATTTTATTGGAACTTTTTATGTTTTTTTTCCTTGTGGGATGAAGTTGTTAAGTTTAGTCCTCTAATGACAAGATTGTTGATAAATGTGCATTGGATTAAAAAAAAGTGTAAAATGCAATTAACTTCAAACATTTTTAGCAGTTTATGACATTCTAATGTTCAACAATTCACATTATTTTTTCAATTTACTTTTTTGGGCTTTTTAGAATATTTATGAAGTTAAATGTGCCTTCCATTTATATCTCAATTAATTTTAAACATATTGCTGCAGCAGAAATTATCAGATAGAAATGAAGCAATAGTTATCATGAAATACTTAAATATATCAAATCTTAAATGCTTATTTTATTAAACTATAAAACTAGGTTCTATGTGTGCCATTGACAAGTACCTAAATTTGTTTTCCAGATGGTTGTCACTGATGTTTACAATCACAGGTTTCACAAAATTTTCAACATGGATGAGGGAGTAAACCATATTTTAGACAGGGATGATATATTTATGTACGTTCTTTTCTTGACCTTTTAATTATTATTTAAATACAGGTTATATTGGTCTTTTGAAAAAAACATTTTTCTTTCCTTTTTTTTTAGTACATATGTTTTGCAAAGCACAAAAAGAAAGCTTACTGGCTAATTCTTTTATAAATGTTTTAGGAAGAAAGAGTAATAAACATCCTTTCCAGATCTTTAAGTAATTTGATAAAGTAATTGAATATTGAGAATAATAATATCCACCCCCATCCCTTTTCACTTCTCAGTTATGAGATTCCAAACAGTAACATTGAAGACCCCAACACTATGATTTTGCCTATCTACCTTAGGGACAAAAAGTAAGTGCCTTAAATGTTTGTATTTAACACTTCATAACCACATAACGAAGTTTAAAAAAAACGTATCCACGTCTTTTTACGCTGGGACAATGAAACATATGGTTATACAAAAGAAGCCTTAAAACTTTTTCAAGAAAGACAATATTTATTTCACTTGAGTTCATTTTACTCAGGAATCCGTATATTGCTAGAGCTTAATTAATAGATAAATAATCCTTTATAACAATAAAACCTTGGCTCTCGTGCAGTAATTGGAGTCCATAAAATTGGATTGAGACAAAAGCATGGTTGTGCAAATACAGAGTTTTACAATATTCTATTGCATAGAATTGGGACTTTTAAAAAGTAGGAAGATGGGTGATTTTATTTTTCGAAAAAAACTATTTTTTACTCTCTTCTGGTTAGTGAGCTATGTGGTGATGAAGATGGACTTGTTTTATTGGATTTGTGATTGTGTTGCATGAGAATATAAAAATTTGAAAACTCTTTTTTCCAATGCTTTGAAAGAAAGAATTTTACATACCAATACATTTTGGGAGTCATGCCATGATAGCACTGTATCTGAATTCTGGTTATAGCAGGGTTTCACTTCCATCCCATCCCTGTGGCTCTACAGCCCATGTAGGGCTTTGGCCTGCCTCATCTATTCCTTCCACTCACACCTAACTCATGCTTTTCTTTTCTATGCTTGGATTCCCAGCTGCTGTAGATCTTTTTTCACATCATCCGTCTAAGCCTAGGTCTGCCTTTGAACCGTTTTCCTCTGGGGTTTTGGTGGTTTCATTTTAATCTAAATTGCTATCAAATTAGAAATCTGAGCCCATTATTGACAAAATTAAAATTTATCCCTGTAAAACAATCAAAATTTTGTAAAAATTGGCCTGTAAGCAAAGTAATTGATGTTGGTAGCATCTATCTGTCTTCAAGGGATGTTGGTGTAGCTTCTGTTTTTTTAGTAGAGTGAGCTTTACGAATAGTTTTGATTTCCTAAGGTCAGAAAAGACGCAGAGTTTATGAACTAGTGTCTCCATAACTAGCTCTTCAAGTCCACCAAATTTACCTGGTTATTTGAAATATTCATTTAAATGATCAATGATTGTCTTTCTCATTTTAAGTTGCTAAAATATGTATGTTCCTTTCAGATATGGTGTGCGGCACTCAGACCACAACTCTGTTTCCAGTCAACCTTTATTTGGTCATCCAATGCTGTTGGCAGTTCCAAGAAATAACTGCACATATGAAAAACTTTACCAACTACTATTACAAAGAATGTCGTAAGTTGATGGATATGTTAAAAAATCATTTTTAAATTTCAGATATTGTTCATGTGTTTCAGCATTCTCTTATTTGTTTGTTGTTTATGATAAAAATTAAAGATTTTAAATAAATGTAAACAATAAAGCAAAGCTCAATAATAATAATTTTTCCACTCAAAATTCAGTATGACATGAAAATGGAGTGTGTAAGATTAAGAAAATGTTACTATTCATTTTTTATATCAGTCGTTATGTAAAAGTCCCTGATGCATCTGAAGAATGGCAAGAGGAGCCACTGGAGGAAGATGAGGAAGATGATGATGATTCATCATCAGCTAATACAAACTCTTCTTTTTGTGGGGCCAGTAATGGAAATCTTGAAGAAGATGGAGGTGGTGGGGAAGCCAGCAATGGTCACACTATCAATGGTAGATTTTTTGTTTAAGCTTTTGCTATAAGTACAAACTAGAATAAAATTAAATTTTTAGTTTTTACAAACTTTAAATGTTAAATTACATAATACTTCAAAAGATAAAGTCATAGTCATATGATACACATTACATGACTTGTTGCTAGGCGTGAAATGATTAAATGGAGAATAAATAAATAATATTTTGCAAGTCTTTCAAAAGCTTTCGGATTTGAGTGTCCTTTAATTTCTATACTTTTGATTTAGTAATAAATATGTTTTCAAAATCAGAACTGGAAATGGAGACACTGGGTGGTAATGGAGAAGGAGAAAATACCTCAAATAATAAACCAGGAACAGAGGAGGATGTTGCATCATGTTCCATATTGTTACCACCATCTTCTCGAGGCAGACGCATCTTCACATTGCGAGCTGCCAACAGTTTTGGTCGCGATGAAACTGGTACAGTTCTAGTGGATGATGGGAAACCCTTGAGAATGACTAGTAAGTTCGGTATAATTATAATTATTTTTTGTTCATCCAAGAATTTAATTTTAACAGAAGGGATTATCATTCTTACCAATTATATAAATTCATCAAACTTAAATTTTTAAAATATATTAAACTTTCTTTATTACCATTTATTTCTTCTAAGTTCATTAAATCTGATATATTATTTTTTAAAACCAGCTACCTTATCATTAAAATCATTTTTTCTTCAGTTTATTTAAACAAAATTATTTAAAAATTCACAGACAGAACATATGTAGCTGTTGACTGGAGTAAAGCAGCTAAGGACAGATTCTTTGATGAAAAGGCTGCTGAGGTAGCAATTATCCCATTTGAAGTATTCTATGGTTCTTGAAAATTCAAGAATCTATATATTTTTTATTAGCAATAATTTGCAATAAAATTTTAATGGTTGTTTTTTTTAAGGTAAAAAAAAAGAAAAGGAATATTTAAAAAAGTTTTAAAGGGGATTCGCTAATAAAAAGGTTTATCAAATTCCAAAGTTCTTAGTGTTGGTATTTGGATCACTTTATTTCCACATTACCCTGCAGCATCATTGATAACATTTTGAAGGCTAATATCTTTTTTTACAATATCATTTTGAATCAATTGTAATGAATAGTTATCAAGCATTATAAAGCATTTATTTAGTTATTTTGCAGAATTATAAATTTACAAATAATATAATTGTTTTCATCTCAGGATTTTGAAGAGCATGATAGTATGAAGTCTCGTGTTGGACAAAAGAAGACAGTAATTCAGTTAGATGATTGCCTGAAGCTCTTTATGAAAGAAGAACAACTGAGTGATAAAGATCCATGGTAGCTTATTGTATAGTTTGTTGATGTTTTTATCAAAATAATTGATTCATTATTTTTAAAAAAACTTTAAGTTAAATGTTGAATCTCATCATGAGGTACAAGTAATACAATTAATTGTTTAAAAAAAAATGTCTCAAAAATGATCCTGCTTTTGCTTACGCAGGTATTGCCCTGATTGTGAACAGCACAAGCAAGCCACAAAAAAGTTTGACCTGTGGTCACTCCCTGATGTCCTCATCATCCACCTAAAAAGATTCTCCTACAACAAATATTGGAGAGACAAGATTGATGTTCTTGTTGAGTTTCCATCTCAGTAAGCAGATTAACTATAAGCTAGACGTTTCTATATTATTTAGATATTTGTATATCTAAGGCCATTAATGTAGTAGTTTTGGCGTTTGATGTGATCAAATTTTCAATGATAGAATAAAGAAAGAAATTTTTACACTATTCCATTTTTATAAGTATTGCAAAGATCTTTATTTTTGTACTTATATTTAATTTACATGGGGATCAATTTCAAAATATTTGTGTAAAAGATCATTTCCAAGAGTTAAATATTTCTTTCCTACAGTGGTTTGGATCTTCGCAAGTATATCATCAATGAGGAATCCAATGAATGTGATGTGTATGATCTCATTGCTGTAACAAACCATTATGGAGGCTTAGGGGGAGGTCATTGTAAGTGTAGCCTACTTCAGTCATGTTTAAAAAATCAGCTCTTTATTTACACTCTTTATTTGCTTTTGATAGTCAAATATTTGATATTTTCAAATAGTCACACTTATAAATGAATGTAAGTTTCCTCTGTGGTTGATAACTTGACAGATAAAAATGACAGTCTTTGACATTGGGTTAATTTTTTGAGATTGGGAAAAATTGTAATTTTGTTTAAAGAAAGCGTATTTTTTTAAGGTTATCTGTCAGCCATATTTCTGGCTTTATTCTTGATGATATTCTATTACAGATACAGCATATGCCATGAACAAAGATGACAACAGCTGGTACTATTTTGATGATTCAAGTGTGACAAGTTCATCAGCTGAATCTGTTGTTGTAAGCTATCAAGATGCATTTTGCTTTTTCATTTCTTAAATATGAAGTGAAAGTTTCTTGTCTATTACATGTTCTTTTAGTGTAATAAATAACTTATTGAGAAAACATTTCATTTTACCCCTTCACAATTTTATGGGTACCTATTTCACTTCTGCTGTTAAGAAGGGAGGGCATCATGCTTCATTGTTTAAAAAATCTTTTTAAAAAAAAAAAAAAAAAAAAAAAATAACTTCCTTAGTTCTGTTTTTATTTTTTATTTTTTTTTAAATAAAACATATCTAAATAATAATTTAAAAAATTTTAAAAAATCTTGAAAAATTATTTGTAAAATATACACTGGGATACATAGGCTCAGAAATCTATTATTTGCAACATTTTAATAAAAGTAATGAAAAAGTAAATTAAAAAAAAAAAGATTTAAATTAAATATGTTTGAAAATTAATGAAAATACTTAAAATTCAAAAGGAGATTACATTGTTTACATATGCAAAATTACTTATGTACATAATGTCATTTGTGTTTTTAATTTATGTATGTATATATATATTTTCTATAATTGTTCAGATCCATTTGAGTGCTACGTTCTAATCAACATCCCACTAATTATTATTTCAGACAAAAGCAGCATATGTCCTAGTATACCAGAGAAAGACCCTCAATCAAAACAGAAAATCCCTTCGTGCCACCAAAGGAGTGAACTCCAATACAGCCATATCTATTCCTGTCAGCCATGTTTCTTCTCATAAATTTCCTGATTCTTCCATCCCTAATGGTGTGGGGGCAGCAAGTGAAGAGGATGAAATGGAAACAAACTAGGCTTTATTCCTTTTTTTTTTGACAGGTTTAGACTGTTGAATGAAGGGTAAATACTTTACAATAAGTTACTGTCAGATCGAAAAATGTTATATTTTTTAAAGTTCCAAAAATAGTTAAGTTTTAAAAATGAAAACGGATACTCAAGTAAAATGATTTAGGAAGTTAATGAATAACAATAGTCAATTTTTTAAAACTTAATTAACAAAATATATTTTGGTAAAAAAAAATTATATAAACATAAACAAAGCCAATTGTGACAATGTTCTCATTCAAAAATTTTCAAAATGTCTGATATATCATGAATTATTGATGGGTGATTGAACATAACTCCCACCTTAGTCTGTACCATGTTTAAAATGAAAGTTGCTGTTTTTCATTAAAATAATTGTTTTCACTAGAGCCTGTGATATGTTGGGATAAGCCAGTGAATTTAAAAAAAACAACTCTAGTTGATAAATTTTTAAATAACTAAAACCTTCAATAGATTGCTTACTAGATCATAAGTTCTAGAACTGGTAAATGACATTGAACAAAATAAATTCATTTTAAAAGCGTACAGTTTTTTAAAAGAAATAACAAGATTATTATTAATGACATGCATTGTCTACAGTGTATTTAAGTGCTTATAATTAATAACTTTGAGGTTGTGGCAAGCTGGGTTATACCGATATATAAGTAGTTTTATCACATATATTTTAATTATACATTTTTCAAACACTTTTATAATAACAAACTGGCAGAAAAAATGCTAAAGAAAAATTCAGGAATTAAAATAAGTAGTTCAAACTGAGAAATGGTTGAAAGTATATTTAAACTTAAACAGAAAAATTTATGTTATGTAAATTTATGTCTTCAATTGGAAATTTGTAGAAATTAATTAAGACTTCGGTCATCCAATGTTAGGTAAGCACTGATGGAGGAGGGTGGTCTAATTAGGAGATTATGTGAACAGGTGCTCATAAATGGCATTCTCCGTTACACAAATAATCAATTATTAAGGACATAACTGCATCTTTAATATACTTTTTTCATTATCAGACACAACAAAATCTATAATGTAGGGGAGGGAATCTATATTATTTATCTAAATACATAACTAGTGAAGGTGGAATAATGATTTTGCTGGTTATGGGAAATGCAAATTTATATTGCACATCTAGCACCATAATGCATTCTGCTTCTGGTAGTACAAATAAGTATGGTGTCTGGCATATTATGTATGATAAAGTTCAAGTAGTATTGAAAAGATGTTATTTGCTTCCATTTTTTCCCCCCAAGTTAGTCTGTGAAAAATATCTTCTTTTTTTTTCTGCTAGATCTAAATTTAAAAAAAAAACGAAAAATTATAGTTTTTTTTTTTTTGAAGCAGTGGTTCTTTTTCTGAAGATAATGATTTATGGAAATCAGACAGTCCTTCAAAAAATATCTTCTTTTTTTTTCTGCTAGATATAAATTTAAAAAAAAAACGAAAAATTATAGTTTTTTTTTTTTTGAAGCAGTGGTTCTTTTTCTGAAGATAATGATTTATGGAAATCAGACAGTCCTTCTGAAACATTCTGGAGAATTGTGAGGACAGTGGCTCTCTGAGATATTTGTTTCAGTAATCTTGTACAGCACTCAACCTATTACATGAAAACTGGTTATGCTTCTATTAAGGAAAAAAAAAATCAATTCCTATTAGCATAGGGTTTCATTTTTCCTGAAAAGTTTTTTTTTTTTAGATGTTTGCATCAAATATGATTAACTTTGTTTTCAAATTTAAACTTAGCTTTGTTAAATTTCTGGAAATTCAGATTTCAAAATGATAACTTAGTAAGATTTCTCTGAATTATACACAACCTAATATTTCTTTTCGGTTTCCTTGTACTTGTCATTTCAACTAAATGGGGCTTACTGAGTCCAGTGCATTAGGAAAATCAGTTAAAGTGAAGGGTACAAAGAGATTCTTGATTCAAATTTATTTTTTGTCTATGCATCAGCAGTCAATATGCAAAAAGGAATATAAATCCTCAAGCATATATTTTTAAAAAATTAGTAATGTATTAGTTTCAAGTTAGTAATAGTAGCACTAATTAGCCTGGAAAAAAATAAATCCCCGTACGGAAAAAGTATACTGGAGCCACTGATTTCACTTTGTAACCAATTCATGTAAATACAAATGAGCTTTTTTGTTTAATTTCATATTCATATAATTCAGGCTAATATACCTGAACTATTGAAAAGGTTTCATAATTTCCTATTTGTACATAATTGTAGTGACAAAAAAGGCCTTTGTTTAACTGAGCACCAATTGATGATGTTCTGCAACAAGTTGTATCTGACTGTATTTATAAGTGAAGTGACATGATTGTATGAGAGAAAAAGAAACAAGTTTGCAAGATTGAGAAACTGGGAAGGTTTTGACAATTTTTTTTTTCTTTGTTTGCTTCTTATTTAAACACATTTATAGAGATGTAGATCTCAACCTGAAATTATGTCATAACATAAATTCTTAAACATCATCACTGAAAGAATAGTTGATTGTTTGATTGACTTATGAACAGTAGCATATCTTCAAAAAGTTGATTTTGAAATAACTGCAATTCATTTGTAAAGCTCCCCATATGATTTTAATATTGCTTTATGGCTAGTGCCGAAGCTATATAAATTCTGTTATTACCAGTTGGGGGAAAAAACCTGAGTAACACCGTTAATTATATTAAATTAATTATTCAGTTGTAACATCTAAGTGTTAGTAGTTTTTCTTCTGTAAGGCATTCAACACAGCCTAGAGAGATTATGTGTCAAGCTATAATTAAGGTGCCATAAACCTCTGTTTCTGTTCCTCACATTTCTAAAATATATAGGTAATTTTCATTTTCATGTGCAGTTCAGTTTTGGCCGGTTAGAAAGTGAACATAGTAAAGAAACTTTTAGTTACAAATAAAGAAAAGACACTTATTACATTGTAAGGTGGATTAAAAAAATTCTTTAAACAATATTATTTTTATTTATTTTTACTTTTGTTTGTTCCTTTCTTTGAAATGATTAGTAATTCTATTAAAGGATGTATTTGAAAAAATTAATTGTTCTGATTTTGTAAAAAGGAGAAGAAAAAAATGTTTATTGCCCTTGAGTATATATCAATGCTAAACTGGCTGACTGAGACAATAATTAAGACTATTAGTTTCTTTCAGTTGGAAATAGTGTAACAAAATTTGGAGATGTTAATAATTTCTTTTTTCACAAACGTTAAAAACCATTGGGACTTAAAGATATAAACTTGATTTAATATAGATCTTAATTTATTCTTTCCACCTGTACACACTGAGGTTAGAAACTACCATTTTAATATTTTGAAACTGTTTTTTTTCTCTTTCTGATTCATACAAATGGCAAGAAAGGTGATTGAATTGTAAATAAAAAACATGCTGAATATTTCATTGCACTAGGAATTAAACGCTGAATGACAGGATGTATATTTTATTTACTTAAAATAAAAACTTGAGATCTTTCAGCAATGCTAATTATGTAAATACCAATATTCGTGTTCTCTTTATTAATATTTAGGTCAAGACTTAGATTTATTTTAATACTGGTAATTCAGGAAAAATAATTTTAGTTTAAATATGTAACTGCTGGATAGTAAAAATAAGTTGGATTAAATTAAAAGCCATATAATTGATACCACTGCCTATCTATGGGGATGAAACATTTTAGTATTTAGTAAAAATACAATATGCTTCAAAGACATGTCTTTGTCCCTGCCTTCCCCTTTCTCTGAATATTGATGTTACAAATAAACATGTTTCATATTACTGGATATTTATAAGTAATAAAGTTTGCTTCCGCATGTTGCTTTGTTAATTTTTATTTCTCTGAACATTTCTAATTATTATTAGTGATGTTTTTAAATTTAAATAATACGAAATTTATTTTTTAGGCAAACTAAAATTTTTACTTTTTATTTAAAAAATCTGGCCAATTTGTACCGGAAGCTTTACATGCTATGAATGAGTAGAGAATGGCGCATAATAAGCTTTTAAAATATTGTCCAAATGCAAAGTGCTAATGTCTGAAATTCATGGACTATTGGAAATCTTATTTAAAGGCATCTTTTAAAGTCGAATTCAATAGATCTCCGGATGTCAAAGGTAAGAGGTTTTCTTTTCATTTTCTTCGTCTATATAAACTAGTACAAAGTACTCATAACACCACTTAATCTTGCTTGACTCACTGTCTTCTCGGGCCACTGACACTCGCTCTGTATATTAATAAATAGTACCAATCTCTAGTCTTGGCACCAGTGCAAGATCTGACGGTAGTGAGAATGAAATCAGTAGGCTACACATTGAATGATTGACAACATAGCATCAAGTCAGGAAGTGCACACTGCACTGATGCACCGTCAATAGACGATCGATTGTCATTTGACGACACGAAGAAAAACAAAGTTTCTCATTAGTCAGTTTCTTTATTGTAGTCTGAGTCATTGGCTCATCCACTTTTTACTTTGACTATCTCCTTCTTCTCTCCCCCCTCCCCCCATTCTTTAAAAAAATTTTTTAAATAAAAATTTTATCTAGGTGTTGGCTGTTGGACCACACATTAGAATTTTAATTCACAAAATACACAATCACAAGGCACATTCACATACTATACTATACTGAATACTGACTCATTCATGTTAGTTTTTAATTATTAACCTGTGTTGTTCAACTGTGTTGGTTTAACTTAGTTTATATAATTTTTTTTTAGGCATTAGGGCTTCAGTGACAGTTGTAATTGTAATGTAGGTCTTACTAGAATTTAGAAAAAGATTAGTCCTAATGTAATGTCAATGATAAGCCAAGCACTGGATATTTGACAAAGTTATTGGATGTTAGGCAGGGAACATCATTCATGCATAGGCCTAATACTAATAATGTTGATTTCAAATTAATATAGAAGGTTAAGACAGGAATGCCTACCAATAAATAATAACAGTCCCTCTGACCTTTTTAGTACCAGTAGGCAATAGTAGGCCTAATTCTGAGTTTATGTTCAATGCTATGCTGCATGCTTTTTGCATGGGAGAGCTGAGTTTACACAAGTTTTGTAGTTTATTTGATATTTGCACTTGAGAGATTGAGGTGTCAGGTTTTGATATGCTTTGGGGGTGATGCATTTTACCCACAATGATTTGTATGGTTCTGTTATTGCAATTTTTTAGAGATTAGCTTTCTATTAATTATACTCACATTTCCATCTTGTAAGTTTGTCTAGCATAATTTTTTGTTTACTCATGTGACGTGTCCTTCCGTTGATTCATTTTTCCTCTATGCGTCTATGACACATTGTTACAGGAGAAGGGGAGTAAGGCACTCTGAAGCCAAAGGATTCATTTTAAATGTAGAAGCTACTTGATAATTTTTTTTTTAATCTAACGTTTGAAAATATTTTCTGCACAGACTTTCTTTAAGAAAATTATGTTCTTCTTTTTAGTGTGTTTAAACTTGTCTTCGAAAGTAAGTCAGCCTTCAAGCAATTTTTTAAACAAATATTTTTTATATATCTTTGTCTTCCGTGTTTTTTAAGGGCCTGTGGGGGCCTGGGCTAAGTTTTAGACTTCATCTACTAAGCAATCTCCTTCATGGTCTTTGTTTACACATATATGAAACATTATATCGTTATTATCATATAATTTGTCTATCACATTGGGAAATGGCGTCTTAATGCCCACACCTCTACAAGGGTCAAGCGCAGAGTTTCCCTGTCGACAGACCGTGCAGCAGCGTGTAGGGAACCTATCCCCTGGCCTGGGGGGCGTCTGGTTGACCGAAAACACTGCATTTAAAGTGTTCCCAGTCTACTTTCCCATGGGTTACGGCGGGTTTGCCTCAACTCCTGGTAAAGGGTGTGGCATTACCACCCTCTTCGTCCAGGGAGTCTTTTGGTCGGGACGAAACGGTTGCATGGGACCAGCTTTCTCACGGCTGCATAGCTAAATTCATTGGCATGGGTTTTTCCGCCACCCAAGTCTCATATCAATTATTGGCAACAAGTAATAATTTTAATACATTACTACTCCCGTTGCATTGGGAGTCATGCGGTCGGACGGGGTTTTTGGCTTCGGTTGGACAAGTCCACCCTACTGTCCGCCAAGCCACAAAGAGGCAAAGCCCATGTGAACGCGCCCCCCCCCCCCCCCCCCCCCACCAGTTTTCTCGGAGACGCTTCTGCTCTTGCGGAACGGAATTTGTCTATCAAATAGGCCTACTATTTGTCTTCATTTAGGTTTCTATAAATAATAGAACCACATTTGCAAGACTCCCTTGAAGTAGCTTGTTTCTTTGAACTGAATGAGTAATCACATGTAATTTCTTTAAAAAAAAATTACTCCATGTCACATAATTTTTGCAGACAGCTTATTTATTGCACATTTGTTTATGACATACACTTCTCGAGTGAAAGGGCAATATTTAAAATAATTTAACTAATTGCTTTTCTCTTGTTAAATTTCTATCATAATAATCAAATATGATATGCCATACACTATATGAAAAACATTAAACATGAAATTGAAAATACTTAAATGTGCAATACTGTCAATCAGTAAAGAATAGGACATGTAAATCTTTTAAATCCCATTATGGGCTAAATGAAGTTTAAGTAGGAAAACAAAGAGGTATACAAATATATCCATATTTTTTGTTATGGTGTTACTCATTACTGAATTACTGGATAATCTAATTTTTTAAAAAATCTTGACTCGCCTTGAGTCAATCAGTTAGCCATAGCGCCTTCGTATTAAGCCGTTATGAACAAGATGTTCAAAGTCGTTTTCAATTTCTTGTCATGAGTCGATTTCCTAAGAAATGAAAAAAAAAAAAAAGGTTGCATAAGAATTGTTTACTCCTTGTTCCAACATTTCTTAAGTTGCATCCCTTTCCTGATAGAAAACGTATGGATCTGTTTGTGTGAATAAATAAAACGCAGTTGCTCTTCTCTCTCTCTCTCTTTGAGGAATTTTATTATCTGTTTTTATTGATAAAGATGATTACCTAAATTTTGGAAGATTATTAGATAATGTCTTTAAGACATGTGCATACGAAAATAATTATTCTCTTAAGCAGCAAGTAGGTTTCACCGTGAGCGGCACTTTTGGGATGTCATTTTCTGTCCTTATTTGATACTTCATAAAGCGTTTACGAAAAATTGAAGTTCAAAAAAATTTTAATCCGAAAGCATTGTTTTTTTTTTAATTCATGTTGGGGGCGGAAAAATTGAGGATCGCCACGGGCGTCAAAAACTCAAGCGACTCCAGTGACGAGTTTCTGACATCAAGTTCATTTCTTGTACTTACCCAGCAAAACTATCATGACCTCGGGGTTGACTGTGCTGAAGGCTATATACATATTGTAGGCAGATTTTCGACTTTTAATTTTAGTGGTACTTATGAGACACGTCAGGCTGCTTTATATATATATATATATATTATATATATATATATATATATATATATATATATATATATATATATAATTTACAACTGGGAAACCATCGGCGGGCCATTTTGAATGGTATCGCGGGTCTAGAGGTTTGTGTTAGCGTAGCTAAAAATAAACTTTGTCCTACAAAATGTAGAGTAAGTTCTCAGAGATGTCAGATACCCCTATCTTTAGCTGTTGGTATCATCCCTATGTTTATAGGTGTAGGTCGCTGGGGGTAATTTATTCCAGTAAACATTGCCATCTCTGCTTTTGATTAGGAAGGGCTGGTGTTGGAAAGCAACGTCGCTCACCTCAGTGTAATCTACCTAGGGCTTTGCTGCTAGCAAGAGTCAGCTGCTGTCGAGAAGTTCCCATAGCATTATAGACAAACAAGCAACACACGTAACTATTATGTTTTTGTGATATATTCTATAAATTCCTTTTTATACACTGGAATAAAGATTAGCTAATGCATAAAAATGATACAATGTCCATCTTAAAATATACCTAATGTATAAAAATACAATGTCCATCTTAAAATATACTTAAGGCTACATGATCAGAGTTTCACCTTCCCATATGACCAGTTGTTTGACTAGTCCCATCATCTGAAGGCTATGATAATGGACAGCAACTACCTTTTTCTCATGCATATTGTTATCGCATATAATGTCATATAATATGTGATATGGCTTCACATTTAAATATAATGACCGTTAGTCAAATCACATGAAGTCATTATAGTGCAACATGGCGTGGGACATAGCTGTTTAAATAAATAAGCACTTTAATAAACAACAAGTTAAATACAATTATATTAATTTAATACATTTGAATATGATTTCGTCAACCCCCCCCCCCCCATTCGCTTCACCTTATTTGTGTTAAAAACTCCAAACATCCTTGGTTAGCATCAACATATTCATTCTGACATCTTCGGATCTCAGTGAATTATGCTCGGAATCAGCTGGATTTAACAATAAACCTACCTCTACACCTCAATATTCTTACCCGGGAGGTGTCTGATGTTGTTGAATATGTTATAATGAGGTCCAGGAACTTGAAGGCGTAATGAAATGATAATATTATTGTCTGCGGCGTCCCAGCGCCCTGCTTGTGTCTACCCGTTCATTGTTGTCAGTTAAATCTCAATTTTCAAGCTTGCGAAGATGTCAGTAATCCATTGACCGGAGCCGAGTCGGTTTGGGGCAGGGGCTGTAGGGGCATTGTTTCCCAGACATTTCAATGACCTTTCTCTCTCAAACTGAGTTCATTAAACATCAGCATTGTTCCGGGATTTAAGGAGGAAAAAACCACAAATTGCGTACGTCTTCCCAAACGAGCTCATTAATCGAGAATGCAAAAGAAA